TTCTAGTAGCTTCTTGTTACTACTAGTAAGGCACTTGTTACTAGTAGCGATGCACTTGTTCCTAGTAGCTTATTGTTTTTAAATAGCTTCTTGTTACTACTAGTAAGGCACTTGTTCCTAGTAGCTTATTGTTTTCTCAGAGCGTCTTGTTACTACTAGTAAGGCACTTGTTACTAGTAGAGATGCACTTGTTCCTAGTAGCTTATTGTTTCCCAAAAGCTTCTTGTTACTACTAGTAAGGCACTTGTTACTAGAAGCGATGCACTTGTTCCTAGTAGCTTATTGTCTTGTTCCGAAAAGCAGTATGTTTTACATATGATGAAGTAAATAAAGTAAATGAAGTCATATGTTTTACATGTTGTATTTGTTTTCAAGCAACACATGCTATTTTGAGGCAAGACACATGTCCATGGGAGAAAGTTCATCCCACTGGCCCTTCTGCGGGTTGTAGACCTGCACACGCGGCACGCCCAAGCCCAAGGGTTGAAGTTCGTTTAGTGATTGCAATTTGATTTGGTTGCCTGGGTGCCCTTGATGATGACTGTGTGAGCTGGCAGGTTTACACCTCGAAACGTTTCCAAGTCTTCGAAACGGCACTAGGAACGAGGGGATTGCTACTAGGGGCTCCTGGCCTTACTACTAGGAACAAGGACGCTATTGGTAACAAAGGGCATCGCTACTAGGGGCTCTTGGCATCGCTACTAGGGCAACTTGCTCAAATGAACCCTCAGGCCACCGAGGCCACCGAGGCCACCGAGGCCACCGAGGCCACCGAGGCCACCGGCCCCAAGCCAATGTTGCAGTGGACACCAAGACTTGAATGTGCCTATCAGCGTACAAGTCCTGCCATTTGTTTTTGAATCAACAACTGAAAGGCTGAAAATAAAACATTTACCATATGTTCTCAAATGGTTCTGTATACGCTGACAAATTACTGTGGAACAAAGTTGAACTTGGCAGGTGTTTGCTGTCCTCAACAAGTTTTCGGTCTGCGCGGGGTAATCCGGCATGGTGCACTGCAAAACCATATGGCAACAAGTCTTGCACCTTTCACGAAACAGGTTGCGAGAATGGAAAAATTGCCCTGCAAGGCCAATTCGGCTTTGAGTTCCATCACCCCTTCAAACACAACATGTTTGTGCCCAAACACATTCATAGACCACATAAAGTGTGGAGCCAGCGACACAAACTGAGCACATAGTTGCGTTGCACATTGCGTGATGCAAAGCAATAACACGCCAGAGGGTTAAAACCGCGTGTGTAGTGAAGTTGCAGTGACCGAGCGGTAGAGTGAAGAACGGTTAAAGCAGCGTCGTGCGAGAGGAGTCGAACTTGGTCCCTGTGGTACACCGGTTTCCTCACGGTTTACCAACGCACTTGGAAACCAAGCATCCAACGCATTCGCCGGCAGCGGTGACTTTCTGCTTCAGTCCGGCACTCCGTTTTACGGTTTGATTGACGTAATTGACGTAACACTTAAGCCACTTCGGCTTTGGTGAACACATCTGCTGCTTCATTGGTACCTACGTACTGAATCTTGATCGAGGGGTCATCTATACATTCCTTTAGTGAAAAGACCTTGTCTAAATTTGGAGAGTAACCTCTCTTGACAACGACTATGGTCGCCTGATTGTCTTCGTTTCTGATTTCTACGGAGCGTTAGAACGGATGGCGCCTCACCTGCGCACACATAATTCGCCTGCGCACACAGACGTTTTTATATATTTAACTCACCTGCGCACACACGATTCGCCTCAGCTGCGCACACATCGATTACATTCTTCTTAAAACAGCCCATGTTACCTCAAACTCAGCTGCGCACACATGATTCGCCTCACCTGCGCACACACAAATCTTCCACAGTACCACGTCACACAGACGCTCTGCGTTTGATTGATGAT